CAAGAACACACACATACACACACACACACATACACACACACACACACACACGCACGTACACATGTACACATACACAGAGAGAGCCTCTAGTGAACATTCAGCCAACCCAAAATAACAAAATCTTAATCTAATAATAAGTTAAGCCAATTGAAACCCGACTGATGATATTCTTGCAAAGCTTCATTAAATCAAGTTTTCGCTACACTCATAAAAATCAAGTTTTGGTAACACTCATTATACTATAACAAGAGATTAATACTCCTAATAAGACAGACACTTGGGAGGGGTCTGTAACGTCTAGTTTTATCATTTCAGGTCACATATCTTTATCTCCTAGTCAAAGGCGCCATAATGCCAGATTCATATACCAAAGTTTGAAGACTATAGACGAAAGGGCCAAGTTTTTACCATTGCTGTATAGCAAGAAGAAAAAGTCATGTTCACCTTGGGTTTGCTGACTTCTACCTTTACCCTCTCTTAAGATAGGTGTGTTAGTGCTCTTGGCTGTCTCACTGAAACTCAATGCATGGAAATTCCCATTGCTGTATGGTCAAAGATAAGCTAGCTTATATTCATGAGTGGACATCTGACACAAAAAGTTGAGAATTGTGGCTTTACAAAGGGGCAGAGAGTGCATTAATTCACCGTCGCAGGACTGTGTCAAGCCAATGCACCCACACATTTGACATATACAACAGAGGTGTTAAATATAGACATTAATCAAGACATTATGTGACAAGATCAAAATGACAGAAACAGAACAACTCCACAGAGCAGACTAGAGACAGAAGATCTATCAACTATCATAAAATTATCCGTCATTGCTTCCCCTTCTCTGTTCACAAAAAAATGTACAATATCAAAACAGCTTAACTTCTAACTTCAACCTCACGAAACTAGATTTAAGAAATCCTAACCCTTACATTAAGCCTAACCCTTAAGCTTATATTAAGCCTAACCCTTACGTTTGCACATTCTCACAATCAGAGGAGTAGTAGTAGCACAAAGATGCTTCAAGTCTAGGACAATAGAAGTCATAATAAGGAAGTATTGTATCACTCTAACGCAGTCACCCATGAAACAAACATTGATATTATGTACACAAGAGCCAGGGGTCGGCTAACAGAAATCACATGATCGAAAGAACAAGAGGATAGAAATTCATCACAAAAGTTTCTGTTGTTGACAATAATTCCAGGAACTATTTATACACATTCAAAGTTCACAGAGAGGAAACAGGAGAGTGAGAAAGCATCATAGCAATGTACTTATATACTTTTGAAGGGAAAAAAACCCAAATTACTGGCATGAGAGGATAAAAACAAACCCAATGGAAGATCAATCAGGAGCAAAATACTGCTCTAGACCAACATCCCCAAAGTATTTAGTTCTGTGAACAGTTTAAATTCAAGAATGGATGTCATTTGTTGATAGCTTTTTTTTTTTAAAGTGGGGAGAGAGGGAGGGGGTTAAATCATAATGTTAAAAGAAGTCTTGTGATCAACAATCCGAGTGTACCTAACATGTCTAAATGTGAATGACAATTGTGGTGATGGATCTATCACAAATACTTCAGAATATCACGTTTGTCACAATAGCTCACAGTTTCAACCTTGTTCAGTCTTTAGAGAAACTCTTCAGATGTTGGGAACTTGTCCTAGAAAGGAAATGTTTACCAAATCTTGAGATTACAGACTAATTATTTTGGCTCCAAAATTCAAGCAATTAAATACTTCAAAACCAAGGAATATACGTGTATACCCTGTCACAATACAGTTAAACAAACATTTTTCTTTCAATTTATCACAAAATAAGACAATGAATCAAGTGTCACTTGCTTTCAGTTATGAAGAAGATGACTATGTTAATGAACTTTACCGAAATATTGACGGTGAGACAAGCAGTTCCCATTACATAAGAAATAGTGACTTGTTTTCAGGACCGGCTTCAAAACTCTGACCCTAACTGATTCTGCTATATTCGACAAAATCTCTTGAATCAACAGACATGCACGACTGACCTACAGTCAAAAATAACAAGCATATTCAAAGGCTGTAAAATTTGACAACGTATCAGCACAAATTTTACTAATGTCCGAGAGCTCAGGCAGCCGTTGATAGTACAAAAGTACGGGAAGACTCAAAGATACCTCAAACATTTTAGAGCCCCCGATACAAATTGAGAGTTTTTTGTTTCAATGATAGCATGCACAACCAAGTTTTCTTGTTGGCCAGTTGTCAAAAAAGGTCCTTTATAGATGTTGAAAAAATAGTGCATATTATGTCTTCAAGTTACATTTCTAAACACTGACAGGGAAAGTTTTCTTTTGAGGTAACAAAAGATAACAAAACAAATTTAAATAACTTTTGACTTGGGACTACTTCCGTATTACTCCATAAACTATTCTGACCCTTTACTTTTTGTCATACAATTCTCACTCAATGTGAAAAAAATATGAACCAAAAATAACTTTTTCTTTCCATACGATAGTCGGTGATGTTATCACGTCAGCGTAAAATATATTCAAGGAGCTTAAGATGAACATTTTAGAACCTCTCAGTTCTTGCCTTACCAAGAGACAATGGAATATTACTATCTGTACTTACTACTCTGCATCAACAAATAGCTGTTTAATAGAGAAGAAACAGGACATGAGAGAGAACAGAAATAGGAATCAAAAGAAATTAGAAAAGAGCTGAGTATTTCTAAGACATACTATTATAATGTATACATCCACATACTCAATCAACAGCCAGGACTTTATTCACATAGTAAATGGTAGCTACTGTTCTCCTTCCTTTATGAGCAAATCATCTCCATTGTACTAAAGCTTCAGCCCTGATCCCTTTCCACAGCTGTAACCATCACAGAGTTCACTGGAGAACATCGGAGACCGGTCTTACTTCTTCATTATCTCTTTGTTGTTTCTGTTTATTTGACCATTACCCAGTCGTTCTACTCTGTAACTTGCGCGTGAAAACTATATTTCCACTACAAAGTATTCCTGAACTCAGTGTGAGGACCAGGAAATTGCAATGGCCTTGACCACCCACCACATGACCTCCCCAGCTGAGAACAATTGATGTATCCAAGATCCCAGCAGCCTTTGTTGAAATAGGCATGAATTTGGATCATATTCAGGCACTTTCGCGATGATCTCTGATCATGAGAAAAGAAGAGCTTAAAGATACTAAGGCCTAATACATTTCACAGATCTAAAGTGTTGATATCTGCTAAATCATGTTAACACCACTATAAAAACATGTATCAGTATCCTCCAACACTAAAAAGTCATTTTTGTTTTCAAATTCACTCCATCATCATACACGATTTGGAATTAAACTTGTTTGACATGAAAGCATAGAAAGCACAAAGACTCCCAGCAGCTTTTTCTGAAAATAAAGACACATAATTTCTGGAGCACTTTTGATATTGAACAATTCCAACTTGCAAGATGAAGAACTGTTATTGAAGAAAAGAAGACCTACGCTACCTAGCATGTTTAAAGAAATACATAAGATACAGAAGTAAAGTAAACCTTTCCTTTAAACCATATGTGGAAAAGATTTAAAACATTTTATGACTAACAACACTTTCTCTACAAGCCACAAACTGAATTGACTTTTTGTGACAGTCCATGGGTTGTGTGGTTCAGAATGTAACCAGCACAGGAGCTGACCAGAGTTTGAGTCTGTCATGGTCTTTAATCAGTGGAACCAGAACCACAGGCCATTCCACGATCTCCATCAGAAGCAAGTTTCTATGCTTTTACTCCAGGAAGTCCCCAACCATCCCACAATGCAAGCACTGGGGCTGCTATTTTGATGAAAACACATTTTTTCTTCAATACATATATACATATTAATGAGAGTCAAATATCCTCACTTTTTCGCGAGAATACAAGGACAACTTATGTCACAGTAAAAAGACTGCGACTGGAATTTACATCACATTCGACCATAAACGGGTTGCTCCGCACCAAATTTCAGCTGAAATGGAGTCCTGATGACAATAGTCATTCACACCATATTTCGGTCTGGGACAACAGCTTTGCAGTAGATGAAGACCATGAAGATCCACTTATCTTCTTTGAGTCTGCAATTTTTTGTTTGTAGCCACATATTTAGTCAGTAGTGAAGGTTGTGGTTGTGACAATTCTCTCATAGATCCCAGAGCCAACTCATAGCGACATTGATGGACCTTGTGTGACTGAGTGAACCTGGAGAAAAACTGGCACTGTTGACTGCTAGCTCCAGATGAGCTGTAGACGTATGGTGCATGCAGTTCTTGCCCAGTAGTCATAACACAAAAAGCTTGACTCGCAATATGGAGCACACAGATTTTGCTCGATCAAGGATCCATGCGTTTTTTTGTGTGAGGAACGAAGAACACTGTTTCTGCTCAAAAAAACAAACACTTTACGCAATCCTTGTAATAGAAATCTTCCATGAAATAACAGTTCAGTAAATGCTGTGCTCACTTCTTGTACGGAGTTGTAGTATCCAAAAAGGAAAACCGGCGGTGACAAAAGCCACGAGACCAGCATAAGGTTTTAGGAATTTACTGTAACTTTTTGTGACCCACACACTAGATACATGCACATGTACTATCGTTGTGTACTTTCATTATGTACTATCGCTATGTACTTTACAGCAGTATCCATATGTCAATGTGGTGCTCCTGTGTATGGACTGTGCTTCCTCAAGACCATAACACGTAAACACACACACACACACACACACACACACACACACACACACACACACACACACACACACACACACACACTTTTACTGTTGGTGCTATGGACAGAAAACAAGTACTGGGACATCGATGTTGCACAGCTGAAGTTTAGAGCAGACAATAACTGCCATACTTTGCTGTAGAGCTGCACTGCTGTCTAGGAGTGTTTATTAACGGGTCCAAAAAACAGCGTTTAATCCTTGAAGAGTTCTTCTAGACCTTCTATGTCCTGTCAGCGCTACCACTGTGTGCTAGATTCGTAGGAGCGTGTCTTGTGTATGGTGGACGAGACAGTCATGTCTGAACACTCATCAGAGTCTGTGCTTGTTTCTGTGTCTGATTTCTGGAGGGAAATAAAGTGAAAAGAGAACCATGTAAAAAAGATTTCTGACGATATAAATATAAATTAAAAGAATTAAAACAGAGCATAGTATTCAAAGAGGAAAAAGTACTTTTTTAAATTCTTAAATCTATCCTTTGAAGACTACGAAACAGACAGTATTAATTTTGTTTCGTACAACATGACTCAAACAATGTTAGGGTGTCCATTCACCAAAACCAACTGATCAAGCATCAAAGAAGAGTCAATAGTTACGACTCAGTTAGTTGTTGTTATCGATCCAGCAACAGTTACATTTGTTTGTATTCTTACAATTCAATGAAAAACGTGATAGACGTCAGCACAACCCCATCAGAACTTTGATTATCGATTTGACAAAGTCAATTGATGTCCAACAAGTAACTGCCACTAGCTGTTACAAGTTGGTCTATCGGTAATTCTTTTATCAAACAAATTAAGCAAAACACTTTTCTCTGAGTGAGCCCTGACTTTCTTTCTCATAAATATCTATAATGCATTACACGGCCATACAGGTAAGTCACAAGGTCAAACTGATTTCAAGAAAAAATGATACCTAGACTCCTAAAATATTGTTCCCCTACCTCAAAGATCCGATCAGGAGAAGTGACTTTATCCTTCATTTTGCGCACAGTGTTCTCCCGATCGGAGAGACCGTCGGACACACAGGTGCACTTGGCCAGCTCTGCCTGCAGGTTCTCTGCACTGCCCGTGGACAAAAGACCCCCGTCACCACTCCCGTCCCGGTCACGGGAGATCTCACTTGTGTTGTCTTCCTCTGAGAAAACCCCTTCTGAACTCAAGGTCGAGAACGACTGTCGACATGGTGGTCGACGGGGAGTTTCATCGTCACTGACCTCCCCTTCCTCTTCCTCTGACCACGAATCCTCAGAGTGCTGGAAAAAAAAGAAAGATAGAGCTAATGATCTTCTTCATCTGAGAAACATTTTATTCATACAACAGTACCCAAGATTTCAGTTTACTATGTGGATAAAAAAGTCACCTCATATTTCTCTCTCTCTCTCTCTCTCTCTCTCTCTCTCTCTCTC